AATGTTTTCAAAAATTAATTTAAAAAAAGCGAGTAAACGGATGTCGCTCTACTGTACAGTACCTATATTACAAGTGGGTCACTGTACTTGATTGTGTTAAATTTGAATTCAATGATATAAAACTATTGTTTACGAAAAACGATTCTGAGCAAAGACGGTATTTTTTTTTTTGTTATCTAGAACCGAGGGAGGAACTGGTGTTTGCATTGCTTCTCCCCCGATCCCCATCGTTTATTGTGCATAAAAACATAAGTAATTTCACAGCAATAGGCATCCTGGGATGAGCCCTTTTCCGCTACCAAGTGGACTTTCCCTATCGTTAGTTATGTGTCCACCTTTGATCGGAGATCGGTGCATCAAAAAAAAAAAAAAACAAAAATCGCTAAGGGCGTCGTTGGTTACTGCTGTTGGTTTTGCGGGTCGACCGGAGTCCGCCGCCCTGGAATCATGTTCTGCGTGTGGTTGGTCCTACGATGCCGTGATCGCCGTATCCGCCCGTGATGTCAAGGGATGTAAGCAGAACGTGGGTCGGTGACACCTCCGACGGTTGCTGTGCAGCATGGCATTGTCTTCCACGTTGTTCTTCTGTCCGCAGATTGCATTATTGACCTTGTGAGGATAGAGGGTGGTGTAGAGTGGGTCAGTTTCACCTACTCTCTGCAGCTTGACTCGCTTTCTCCAAGAGCGAAGACGCTCTGTCAGTCTATATTATTAATTAGTAATGTAGTATATTTGATGATATTATTGTGATTTAAGTAATTTATTTTACTAGTAAGTATTAAGCATATAAGTACTTTTACAGTACCTAGTAGATTAAATTCCTTTTTCGCTGAAAAAGATACATTTGAAAAGTCATTGAGTGTATAAAATATAATAAAAATACTTTAGCAGTTTCAAGTATCCACGAATAATATTTTTAACTAAAAAAAAAAACTAATTATATATTATTAGATTTTTTGTTTACAGAATAACCTATACTTCCCTGGAAATTTGTTTTAAATTTTCAATCCTTATCTATAAAACTATTTGTAAATTTTGAAAGATATATATTTTGTCAAAATTTGAACCTAACCCCCACCCCGCCAACAGAAAATTCTATTTTCCGGGCAAACCAGTAGCATACAAATGTCGGAAACGGTCGTACAAATACATACAAACCACGTGCCAAATAGTAAATATTGGCGTAGACAAATTTAAAATGGATGAAGCTGGGGCAATGTACCTACGTATTGGTTCTCGATCCCCAACCATGCATGCTGAGGTGGTTCCCGTTATTTGATAGGCTGCATCATTAAGGTAAGTCGAATTGGTTCCAGTTTAATTACGCACATTGTCCTTCTCAATTGTACAGGCTAAGGATTTCCAGCTTTCAAATAGGCTTGGATAAAAATATAATGTTATGTGTGTTAAAAACATAAACTATTATAGGTGTATGAAATTCAAAATCGTTGTTTTAGAAGTCAACCAGTCATCACTTAGTTATACAAAATTAAAAAATTATCAATACTGTGTGCAATTTTAAATTGTGGATTTGCAAATTTGACGCAAACTTTTTTCAAGTATTCAATTCATGTAAGTTTCTCATTAATGTAAGTATAGTCATACAGTTTTCCAACTACCTATTGGTTATTTCTTTCCTGTTTGCTGGTATAAGTTTCTTTGCATTATTACTTATACCAAAATCAATAACACCGTATTTAACAAAAATTTGCGTCATTTCAAAGTTTATTTTGATGCATTTATCAAATCCAGTTATACTGCGCAAAATAGCCAAAAAAATATATGTTGGATTTGGAAAACTTATTCAAATAACAACGACAGTTGATGTTCCAAACAACACTACTACGATAAACTTCAGAGGTTTTCCACGACATTCCACATAAATTTGTAAAATTAAGGGTTAAAAATTGAAAAACAATTTGCAACTTATAATCTACTCTCCAGATGGTTTCAACGTTATAAATAGAGGTATTTAAAAATGTGACAATGCACAAAAATAGTATTATTGTATTTTTAAAAAATGTTTATATAAATATATTATAGTATTCAGATCCAAACAAGGGGGGGGGAGGGGGGCTGGTAGACCTCGAGTACTGGGGCCCTTCGAAATGTATTTGTAATTTTTGAAATTTTAGTAGAAATACTTATTTTATACTAAATAATATTGTATAAAAAAACATTTTATGATATATTTTATATATTTAGTCATTCATTAATGATAGTTACCTAACCATTGATTACTAAGAAATTATTGTGGTTAATAATCTCGATTTTTTAATAAATTACTAGCTGATTCGGGAGATGTTGTCCTGTGAATATTGAATTCGAATTGGTATAACTAAAAAACAAATATTATTAATTTATAAGTTTTATAAAGAGCCCGGATTAGAGATTACAATCCCGGTCCTAATTTACGATCCCGAGATTCCGGGATATTTAGCTATTAATCCCGGGATCACGGGATTATCCCGAAATTTAGTGAGAAAAAATTTAAAAGAATTATGCATCAATTTTTATTTTTATTTTTTTATATAATTCTATATCTATATAGTGAATAATGTTATTATTATAAATTACAATTGCATATTATTTTCTACTTATTTTGAAAATGTGAACGTAGGAATAGTAGAGCGTCTAATGTTCCATCTCCCAGTCTGCTTCTTAGCTTATTTCCTATGTATGTTGCTCTTGCTGAAAATGCACGTTCTGATTCGATACTAGTATTAGTAGACATTAAATACATAAATACTAGCTCTAAATGATACCCGTGAGTTCCTCCATTTTCAAAAAGATTTATTTATTTTTTGGTGATTTTAACCAAATCTGTTTGTTTATGTGTTATAGGATCAATGTCTTTTTTTATTTTTGCCTATTTTAAGCTCCAACTTTTCTTGTAAAGTTAATTGTGTGAGTGTAATAGACTCACTTCTTGTTTGTTCTAAACGTTGTTGTTCTTCATCATTTTTACATGGATTGTGATTTTGTATCTTTTCAATTAATTTTATTATTTTTGTTTTTAATAAAATCATTTTTAGGGAGTGAAAATAAATCTTTCAAATATGTTATTTGATCATAGTGATCATGAGGATTCTGTAATAGCTTAATACGCCAGATAACTCTGGACGTCGTCTTCTTTTTATACTATCACTCAAGCATGTCCTCATTTTGTTAGCTAGCATTGAATTTGTTTCAAACAACTCCTTGAAAAAATTTAAAAGCAGCATATGTAGTACACAAATTGGCATCACGACGACCGATTGCTTCCACTGTCAATTTAACGGGTGCAAGTACATCTCTTATCTCAGTAATTAAATTTGAATCAGAATCGTCTATACGGACTGGGTGGTTGAGATCTAAAAGAGATTTTTGAATGTTGATTTTAAAAGAATAAAGCGTTCTAATATAGCTAGATTCTAATGGTTAAATCTGGCATGTCTTGAATAAAAGCATTTTGCGGAAGAATATTCAAACTTTTTTCAAACATATTTTCTGAATTCAGGTTAATTCGGAATATTCTTCCGCAAAATGCTTTTATTCAAGACATGCCAGATTTAACCATTAGAATCTAGCTATATTAGAACGCTTTATTCTTTTAAAATCAACATTCAAAAATCTCTTTTAGATCTCAACCACCCAGTCCGTATAGACGATTCTGATTCAAATTTAATTACTGAGATAAGAGATGTACTTGCACCCGTTAAATTGACAGTGGAAGCAATCGGTCGTCGTGATGCCAATTTGTGTACTACATATGCTGCTTTTAAATTTTTTCAAGGAGTTGTTTGAAACAAATTCAATGCTAGCTAACAAAATGAGGACATGCTTGAGTGATAGTATAAAAAGAAGACGACGTCCAGAGTTATCTGGCGTATTAAGCTATTACAGAATCCTCATGATCACTATGATCAAATAACATATTTGAAAGATTTATTTTCACTCCCTAAAAATGATTTTATTAAAAACAAAAATAATAAAATTAATTGAAAAGATACAAAATCACAATCCATGTAAAAATGATGAAGAACAACAACGTTTAGAACAAACAAGAAGTGAGTCTATTACACTCACACAATTAACTTTACAAGAAAAGTTGGAGCTTAAAATAGGCAAAAATAAAAAAAGACATTGATCCTATAACACATAAACAAACAGATTTGGTTAAAATCACCAAAAAATAAATAAATCTTTTTGAAAATGGAGGAACTCACGGGTATCATTTAGAGCTAGTATTTATGTATTTAATGTCTACTAATACTAGTATCGAATCAGAACGTGCATTTTCAGCAAGAGCAACATACATAGGAAATAAGCTAAGAAGCAGACTGGGAGATGGAACATTAGACGCTCTACTATTCCTACGTTCACATTTTCAAAATAAGTAGAAAATAATATGCAATTGTAATTTATAATAATAACATTATTCACTATATAGATATAGAATTATATAAAAAAATAAAAATAAAAATTGATGCATAATTCTTTTAAATTTTTTCTCACTAAATTTCGGGATAATCCCGTGATCCCGGGATTAATAGCTAAATATCCCGGAATCTCGGGATCGTAAATTAGGACCGGGATTGTAATCTCTAATCCGGGCTCTTTATAAAACTTATAAATTAATAATATTTGTTTTTTAGTTATACCAATTCGAATTCAATATTCACAGGACAACATCTCCCGAATCAGCTAGTAATTTATTAAAAAATCGAGATTATTAACCACAATAATTTCTTAGTAATCAATGGTTAGGTAACTATCATTAATGAATGACTAAATATATAAAATATATCATAAAATGTTTTTTTATACAATATTATTTAGTATAAAATAAGTATTTCTACTAAAATTTCAAAAATTACAAATACATTTCGAAGGGCCCCAGTACTCGAGGTCTACCAGCCCCCCTCCCCCCCCCTTGTTTGGATCTGAATACTATAATATATTTATATAAACATTTTTTAAAAATACAATAATACTATTTTTGTGCATTGTCACATTTTTAAATACCTCTATTTATAACGTTGAAACCATCTGGAGAGTAGATTATAAGTTGCAAATTGTTTTTCAATTTTTAACCCTTAATTTTACAAATTTATGTGGAATGTCGTGGAAAACCTCTGAAGTTAATCGTAGTAGTGTTGTTTGGAACATCAACTGTCGTTGTTATTTGAATAAGTTTTCCAAATCCAACATATATTTTTTTGGCTATTTTGCGCAGTATAACTGGATTTGATAAATGCATCAAAATAAACTTTGAAATGACGCAAATTTTTGTTAAATACGGTGTTATTGATTTTGGGTACAGCCACATCTGTTGCATCGTCTCTTCTTCCCATGTCACTGGAGGTATTTCAAACCTACAAATATATTTGCAAACGATCGATAAATTTCACATTAAAATTTTTAGTGTGATTAATTTAAATTACATTTTTTTATTTTTTTGAAATTAATTTTAAGTAATTTTCAAATAAATGGCCCTTGGTGGGATTTGCATGTGAATAGTAGCCTATCTTTGTATAAGACACATGCTTACAGTTGGCCGACTACGCGTCTACTGCAGGGAAACTCGACAAGTGTTGCTTAATAATAATTTATTATCCGTAACAAGTACCTGACTCGACATGGTTTCTTTTCATTAAATGTCTGTGTGCTCCTTGAAACTGGTGATTTGTTTTTCAGTTTCATCAACAAACGTCTATCCTCCATCAAATCCAAATACTCCAATCGCATAGCCACTGCTGCCCTGTGCCTACTAATTTCCAATTTGTCGATCTGCTTTAATGCGTAAGCAATGCGTGTCCTCAGTGCTTCCAACGGTTGTAGGTCGTCTCGCTGGATCTTGTTCGCTTTCATCGCAATGTCCACTATCGGAGAAATACTCTCCTCTACGGGCCGCACAAACTGCCGGCGGTTTTTCATCGCTGATAAGAAATTAAATACTCCTAAGTCTATCATCGTTGTGGATACAATATTATATTATAAAATACAACTTTTTATCGTCTATATTTATTCAAAACTGAAAATGAAAATAATAAAAATATGATATAATACTTTCGTTTCTATAAAAAGTAATTTGTTGACTAGCGTTGTTACGGAAATAAAACAGAACGGGACAAGTTTACTTCATTTGCAACACATATTTTTTGAGTTTTTTGTATTCCATGAATAAATACATTTCATTCTTAATTTTAATTTTTACATGTTACTGAAATCATCATAAGACCAATATGCAAGAAATACAATAGGTATAACTGTATGTCCGTATAGGTTTTTTAAAGAAGCATTGTACATATTTCTTTGATAAAAAATGAATATACATCCGCACCTGAAGTAGGTAGATAGTTATACACAATAATTGAACTAATTATTCAAGTACCTACCTCCTTATTTCTTTGTTTAACAAAAATATATTATATTACAGATATTCATAAAATATGCATTCTTATATTATGAATGCCATCATGTATATTTTTTAATTAAGAATGTTAATCTTTTTTTCAAATATAAAAAAGCGGGTAAGTGGATGTTGCACTGCTGTATTAAGTATCTAGAAGTTTTAACCAACCTAACCTACAGTGTAATGAATGGAATTAAATTTGAATTTAATGATATAATATTATAATGTCATTATTCATTGTATACGAAAAACAATACTTAGCGGAGACGGTATGTCAGTCTAAGATATTTTATATTGTTATTGCTTGTTATTAATACGATAGTCGGTAAGTTGAATTAGTATTATTCTTAAATTATGAGTAATACTGGAATAATATTATGCATACTTAGGTAAAATTGAGCTGTTTTGGAAACGAATTACAACAAAATGACTAAAATCGTTATTATTTTTGTTGATATGTAATTTCGTCTAAATGTGAACTTAAAATAACTATAAAAGAAGTTATGTTTATTTTTAGATTTTTTGGTTACAGAATAAACAACTTACGTAGAACCTTGTTTGAAATTGTCAATCCTTTGCTATAAAAGTTGAATCTAAAATGTGTATATACGTAATACGTATATAAGTAGGTAGTTGTGAAATAAAAAAAAAATATAGCTAATATAATTCAGTGTTCATTCTGTTTTCCACAAAAAAATGTATTATTATATTATACTATTCTTAATTGACGTTTAGGAACTTTTAAAAACAATTGATTACACCTGGTAATTAACTATCAACTTTTAATAAAAAACTTCTTATATTTTATTCTGTATGAAATAAAACCGGTTGGCACCTATAGAAACATAATATATGGTTAGTATAGTTTTAATATTCATTATTCATGGATTATATCTACTTAGTGTCTTAGTCCCCAAACAGGGGTCGCTCTAGATACATGGTTGTGCCCTTCTAAGTCATAATTTTAATTTTGTTTTTAAATGCATTACACTATTTTTAGAAATACGAGCTTCGGGGATAACCACAAACGCTGCTCTGAAGTTATGATGCCCACTGCCAGTCCAATAATCATTTAATTTTTTGATAATCAACCTACATTTACTAACACATTTTGAGGCCTAATTTAAAAAATGATATTGGCTCTGCGTTATCACTTATCACTGTGCCACATACACTCTTTTGCAAAATCAATAAAATGCTTGAGATTATATTTTAGTAGATTATACTGAAGACTAAAAAGAATATTTGTTGTAAACAAATAATTAAATAGCTTAAATGTATAATAAAAATGTTTTCTATCCTGTGCGTGTGATCGAAGCAACAATTTTTAATGGCCAACAATTTATCTCAATATCCTATCTGGTTTCTTTTCTTTTTTAATAAGTAACAATTTTATTCTGGTCAATGACGTAGCCACGTAAGTACCTATATAAATTATGCGTGTTATCATGGAATCATCATAATTCCTATCATTAAGGCAGTTTTTAAAATGCTCGTCATCAACAATAATATACCTATTTAGTTAATTGTGGATCAAAAATGGTATAATCAAGGTCCGTCTGTTTACCTTGATGCTAATAATAGGTTTTTTGTTGTTCATAATCTCAATCATTAAATATTATAAATATCTTACATCACGTGATTTAAACATTAAACACCATAATACTCAGGTGCATACCTATTATTATTTATTATATTCTCGATTTGTGGGCATTCGCATGGCAACAAATTTTAAATACAACTCATAATTAACTGGTTGTTTCTTTCTATATGTTTTTACCTACCTACCTATCTAGTATCTAGCAAACACGTATATATAAGTAGTAAATACGGCTATTTAGAATGATATTTCAGATTTTCAGTTATTGTTTGGACACCGGTAAGCACTGGTCGTGTAGTTTTTATAATATTAAAATATATATTTTTAAAACGAAAATGGAAAAGTGGAATGGAAAAGTTGCTGTAGTGACGGGTGCTTCTTCTGGTATCGGAGAGGAGACTTGTCGACAACTGGTTGAAAGGGGAATGATTGTTGTTGGTTTTGCTAGAAGAGAAGATAAACTTCAGGTACGCTGTAGTTGTAAAGTCATTTAAAGTGTTAGATTTTTAGAGCAAATTCAATAGATATAACAAAACATTTGTATTTATCGTTTTTTTTCAAAAATGTTATTCATACTTCGTAGAGATTTGAAACTTTTCACCATGACGTATATTATTGTTTACTATACCTACTGAAAGAAATTTTCAAACTATTTTAATATACCACGAACATTATTACATTATACCATTTCATTTTAATAACAAGTCACGAAGAGTGAACAGAAAACACCTAAAAAGAAGTCACATATTGGCGAAACTTCAATTTAATTGTTTCTCATGTAGCAATATGGCCTGTGTATAATATCTTTACTATACAGTGAAAGTAACGAAAATAATGAACTAGGTAATGACTAATGTAATTATTATGAATAGGGCATTATTTCTATGAATTTGCATGTTTTTTCTTTGAGTTCAAATTGATTGGTCGTCAGGTAAGTCCGTGATTTGAATTAATCTCGATTAAATAGATCCGACTATTTTGGCATATGTTAACATATTTTGAACATACGGTATAGCATGGTAGTATTGTAATTTGGTTATTGACAATCAGATGAATTTTAAATGATATTAATTATGTGATAAACGTCTATTATAAGTATTGGGTTATAATATATCGAATTGCCTCCCTTGAAACTTGAGAGCACATATTAAAACAGTAATATTCAATTGCCATGATAACCAGGTACTTATAATAAATAATAATTTTATTTAAATAAAAATATTAATAAAAATAAGAAATATACATTGATTAGTAGGTAATTTCTGTTTCAATTAGTTTCTGATTTGTATGTAGAAATGAAAAAAATTGTTTTTGTATACTTTGGTTAGTAAGTGTGTAGTACAATTTTTTATTGCATATAAATCTTAGCCCTAATAAACCATTACTATCTGCCAATATAACTACATTTTGTTCTATTCAATATTTTTCAATTTGTTTTCAAATAAAATAATTGATGATTAAACAGACTATGCAAAAATAAGAATATTTTTAAAAATATGCTTAAGCTCACTATAGTACAACTGATTAATTCAAATATGTTTATTATTACATGCGTCATACAATTTTAACTCTTTTTAAGCTATTACCTATATTTTTTTAAACTGCTATCGATCTAAAAAAACTTGAAGATTTAGTGTAGATTTCTTTATGAATTGGTATACCCAATAAAAGTTTAAAAGTATTAAAGATTTTACATTACAAGGATATTTTGTTTAAGCTTATAAAACTAAAATTTTGACAAAATTCATGAAAATCACGAAAATTTTCAAATCATTTTGTAGTTTAAAATGTATGAAATGTTAAGTTTGAAAAACGAGGTTTTTCATAAGTAGTTTATGGCGTAACTAAAAAAATACACGAACCCAGTTTTTATTTCGGCAGATATTTCAAGTTCATATTTGAACGACATTTGATAATATATTTGAATGAAAAATAACAATTTAATTTATTTTTTCGTAATTTAAAAATATTATCCGTGGACACTTTCAAGTATATGAATTATAATTTTCAACACACATCTTCACACAAGCTGACAAGCATTATATATTTATCGAAGCCCATTATTTTGTTAAAATAAATGCAAATACAAATATGTACTTCCACTATTAGTATAAAAAAAAAAGAAACAATATCTTGTTTAGTAACAGTATTTTTATTTTACAGCCGCAAATATACAGCGTGAGTGTCGATAATGTAGTTATGACACAAAGTGTAAATTAAAAAAAAAATTTTTTATGTCATTTAGTACAATAATTTTTGACACAATGTGGTCGTTTTTGAAAACATACATTGTTAGTATTTAAACAAAAAAACATGGCCTTTTCAAATTTATTCGGAAAAAAAAACAAAAAAAAAAATTATAATCTGTTATACCTTAAAAAAATGCCAAAAGCCTTAAGTCGGCAGGTAATAGTTAACCTAAACTACAAAAAAAAAAGAAACACCAGTCAAGACACCAAAAGCTTTATAGGGGATTGACACGGGATGTCGAGGTGGGTTTGTACTCAAATGGCTACTGGTCACCTCTATACGTCCCTACGACCGATCCCGTGGACGGACGAGCGCAATAGCCTGCGCGTTTGTTCGCAGAGACGATCATCCAGACGACTTGTTTGGGCCCGACCACAACGGCTTCTCAAGTGACTGGGCGATTGGCGGTGGAGTGGCTAGTGGCGCGATGTTATGCGATCGACGATTGGCAGGTATGCTGAGGACGACTGTCGCGGCGTCGACGGCGGAGACAAAAGCACTGGGTGGGCGAATGCAACTGTGATTGCTGTGGAATTGACGGCCACCGGAGGCCTGTGGGACCACCACCGGACAAAAACGGGAGAGCATCTGAGGACAGCGCTGCGACGCACCGCGGTTCTGATACTTCCGTGATTCTTGCCCTAGAGTCCCGCCGCCCGAGTTTACGTCCGGTGGCCGTCCGGAAGTCTTTCACCCCGCACCCTGAAACTCACAATTGAATTTCTGCGGGTTCTGTGACGCTGCGACTTCCAATTCCTAGCTTAGCTCTACCACTCTCCCGCCGTACTTTAAAGTCTCCAACGCCGCCGCCAGAACTCGCCTTCGTGCACGCTCTGCCATCATCGAAGTATCTTCGGGGCGGAATCGGTTCCCTCGCCGAAATAACTATCCATCGAACCGTGTGGTCGTACGTCACTACAAGGGTGGGCCGGGCCCCTGCCAAGTCGCCAGATGGTCTCGCCAACAAGCGGCGCCAATAACCACTGACCCGTCGCGCCGCGAGTTGCCGGGGAACGTATTTCTGGTGACATACTGCCTTTCACCGCTTGATTTTTGTCAATAATAAATTGTTTACTTTGAAGTACCCAAATTGTTGTATTGTTATCACACAAAAAATTAACAACGATGTTTATATATAAGCTAAAAGATGATTAGTGTGATAGATACCCACTATAATAAGCTTATCAAAAATTTTAGTGCACTAATAAAAAAGTTTTAGTGTGCTACAGTTAAAAATTACGGTGTTTGCTCTTGTCCTAATAGTTGAAATAAGACATGATGTTTTAGAGTACTAATATGATTGGTGTGCTAATGTAAAATTCATAAAGAGTATCCCAAATCTTCACCTGATCTGGCTGAATATCTAAGTCAAATTTCAAGCCAATCAGACTAGTAGTTTTAACGATTACTATAGTGTGGAAAAAAGCGACATTTATTTTTATTTATAAAGATAGATAGAATTTAGAAGATAAATAGATGTATAGTTAGATAGATAGATGTATGTAATGCATTTTTGATAAAAATGACTAACCTATATCTATACCGTCTCACCTACAGAAAAATAATAGTTTTTTTAATAGTTATGTATAAATATATAAATTATATATATATATATATTTATTCATAGGTATTTAAGGTATTTCGTAGACAATGATTTATAATAGAATTGCAATATTTAACACTTCAATAGTATAGTAACTTGCTCAATGAAAAGTACACTCACTTTCAATACTCAGCAGAGGGACTACTCAAGTTTTAAAATTGAGTTATCCAGACCTATATTGAGTATATAGTATCTAATCCATTTTTTTTTCAGGTGTTGGAAAACGATTTAAAAGGAAAACTGGGTAAATTTTATTACGTTAAAGTTGATTTATGTTCGGAAGAAAACATTATGGAAGCTTTTAATTGGGTAAAGAGTACATTGAAATCGTTAGACGTACTAATTAACAATGCTGGTGTTTTGAAGCAAACTGATTTATTAGGTAAATTTCATTAATATATTGATTTATAGTATTTAAGTATTTTCCAAAACATGATTGTAACTGTAAGTCAGTAACACAATAATTAACTGTAAACGTACTATGCATGTCAAATAATATCCTATCAAATATTATATGACAAATATTAAAAACGTGTGAATTCTTGTACTTCAGTATTATTAATTTAGGTAACCATAAATGTGTAAAATGTATAATTATTGTTATGATGTAGGTACCTAACTTAAAGTAGAAATATTGAAATCATGACGTAAATAATACAATTACAACAATTATTTATAGAATATTAATACCTACTGGATAATTACTCATATACTGTAGTTACAGCTTTTTATCATGGTCAAAAAATTATAAAATTAATTTTGTTAATTTTTCTGAATCTAAACTATATCTGTATGCATTAATAATAAATTATTATAATTACTAATTATGCAGATCAAAAGTTAAATTGGTAGCTAAATTGTAATAAATTTATATCATATTGTGTTGTCTATATAACGACAATTAATATTATCCACAAGATTCGCAAGTGTTGTCTCAGTTTTACAAATTTATAACATATCACATTTTAATTTCTAAATAATCCATTTTCTCTTGTTATTTTTAATATTAGAGTAATTATTAGATCTATGATATCTAATAGATAAGATTTTTGAAATTTACCTTTTCAACAAGTCAAGAGCTTACTATTTATTTTTGTCGATTTTAAAATACTTGTAACTAGTTTTGAAATTAAAAATATATTGTTTTATAAAAGCAACAAATAAACATTATTACCTTTAAATTTTGATAAAAGGTATGAATTCACTAAAATATTAATATTAAATGATTTAAATTGATTATTTTTAACCATATACATGTGTAATAAGTAAGTTTAATATTTAGAAGTAACCATTATAACCTGCACCCTGCTGAATAACAAATGATTGCAGAAATGTAGCAATCATTATTGGTTATATTGATGTGGATACTTATAAAAAAAATGTTGGAGAATAAAATACACTTGAATGAATTATTATGACATAAATAACAAATCATAGTATTAGGTAACCTTAAAGCATTTGAGCAAGTATTAACTTTAGTTGTAATTCATAATAGTTTTTATATTTAGTTACAAGTAATTTCATATTTGAATACAAAAAAAAATTTTAAGAAGTATCAGTTATTCATAATCAGTATCAATATAATTATTAATCATATCGATTTTCATTCATTAAAATTTTTTGCTAATTTTTATACTTCCAGGAAGCACAAAAGATTGGAAACAAATGTTTGACACTAATGTCATAGGACTTAATATCTGCAGCAGAGAGGCCATAAAAATTATGGAGCAAGTACAAATCAAAGAGGGTCACATAATAAATATTAACAGGTAACCATTTAAATTTTATTTTAATTAAATCGTATGAATTTAATGTATTCTACAATACAATTTAAAGAAAGATAAATATGTATATATTACATTTATTATTCAGTCATTCAGTACTCAAGTATTTTTAGTCTAGCTTGATTGTCTAGATAATTATATTATTTGTTGAATTTTAATTGAATAACACCAACAAATATAAGATCACTTCATCACGATATAAATTGTCATATCTTTCTAAGCTCCTAACAGTAACTGATGAATTATTAACGTAATATGATTAATTTAATATGTTGTAGTGTTGCAGGTCATTATCAATTTCCATTTATGAAGGATATTTCAGTTTATAGCACTACCAAACATAGTGTTACTATAATCACAGAGAGTTTAAGAGAATTGCTGGGCATGAAAAATTTACCCATCAGAGTAACGGTATTTAAATCGATTTACGTATACACTCAATACAAATTCTATGTTATATTAATCTTAGAATTAATAATTTGAATCATATATTACCTACATCATTTTACTAATTTTCAAACTGAAACTAAAAATTAGAAAGTTAAACATCACACATATAATAATTTATTGCATATTCAATTTTTACAGAATATTTCTTTTTTTCCTTACAAGTAATACGTGTCAAAATGATGTAATATATTTCAAAATATTCTATTTAAATTCAAAAATGAAAAACGAATGTATTTTAATGTTATAAATTTCAAAATACATAGTTTTAGTTAAAGATTAATCGTTTTATTTTTAGAGTATCAGTCCGGCCGGAGTAGAAACCGAAATGACTGTAGAGTTAAGCAAATTGGAAGGATTTAAAATGTTGAAATCTATTGACATTGCTGAAGCTATTTTATACGCGTTGAGTGCACCGCAACGTGTTAACGTAAGTTAAAAAAAAATTTATTTAAAAATATTAAGATAAATTGTAGATATATTAAGATTTGCATATTATAATAGATAGTTACTACCTATATTTTGCGTTCATCGTTATTTTTTAAAAAATGTATCTAATATAATACCATACTTACCTGAGTGGTTGGGTAATTAATTTTTAAGTACTTTTATCAATAAATTACAATTGGTCCACTTTAATTATTTATAAATTATAGTTATGTATCTTAATACTTGTTGTTAGGTAGCTAAATTGGTTATAATATTATGAACCTTGAAAAATATACAAGTATAAGTGTATAAAATAGTTGTATCACTTATTATTAAATTGATATAATCATTTTATGAAGGTAATCGTCCACTATAATTTTTTGTACTGTTAGTATTTCATGCATTACGTATTTGTGAAATATACCATGCTGATCCCATCCGTTTTGAATTTTTGAAAACTATAACATCATAAATATTTATATTTATTTTCATGTAATTTATTTGAATTTGTACAACAATCTTCATAATAATTCGCACGCTTAACATTCGGCGGCAATAACATTTTCTAAAAAATTACGTCGCCACCATTCCGAATCGTAAATTCTATGTTTTTATTAGTTTTACTATACCATATTTTACTGCATAGTTTATATGAAATTACCAAAGATACTAATATTTGTAATCCACATAATCTGTGTCAAATGTTGTAATTTTAAATAATTTGTTACCCTCACAGTCCTACCCAATCCATGTAAATTTTTTTTAAAGAGTGAACATTAAATTTTCATTTTTTTTCTATGTCAACATTAACTAATACGTATTTGGTCTAAATTTATATGACCATTTTCCATATAGCCCATGTTTGATTCTTAAGTTCGTGTTCATATGCTTGCGACACTGGTACATTTTATGTTAGGTACAATGAATTGGTTCATTTATTAGAGTTTGTGTTCATAAGTTTTAATTTTTACAGGTCGCCGAAATCATCATTAGACCAACAAGTGAAAATACATTAGATTTTATTAAGAGTCTTGTGTAGATATTGTTGAATATTCAGCATTTATGTATGCTGCATTTTGTAGTACACTCAGCAATATAGACAGTATAGAAGTATCGCATATATTACGATCAGTAGGACTGTCCATTGGTCATTAGTGAATATAAATTTTTTTAATGTACATCATTACTATTTGTATACCTAAAGTTAAAGTAATTTATTGTTAGCAGTTATAACTACAGTAAACAAATATAAATTACTATAAAATACGTTTGTAATTTGTTTTATTATTTATATTAGTAATGCAGTTATCAATTATAATTAATACATATCATCCCGATATCTGCGATCCATAATTAAAGTATAGGTAAACAACACACTTATAACGTGAACGTATTTCACCGTTTAAAGTAATAATGTTTTAATGAACCTGGTTAGTAAATGATAACATATCTATTATAAAAAAATCTATCCTTACCGTTTCTCAATTCTTCGATATTAATTTGTTTGTTTATTTTGTAATTTTATTTCACATTATATAATATTACTAGCTGATCTCGTGCACTTTGTTGACCGTTAAAAATGCCAACTCTATTGAGACTCGATGGTGATAATGCCGAGCAGAAACTCGTTCAAACATATCATGCTAAATTTCCCATACACCTTACAATTTTTAAAAATTCTCCCAAACGCAAGCTGACCCATGAAACGTGCCCAGAGCATAGAGTACCTTAGTTTAAGACTACCATCATGATTTATCTTCAATTTCCGTATTGTTACGTTCAGTAGAGTATAGATGGTTTGAAATAATAAATATTAGTCAAGTGAATTATTAAAAATAACACCTATATGTTTTTACAATATTTTTATAAAATTAAGGTGGGAAAAACGATAAAATAGTTGATTATATAGGTACCTGTATTTCATGCCACCACATGTATAGTTTTTTCTTTACCTCATTCATCAATTATTTCGGCAGACGAGCCGAATAGAGGTAAGCAAAATGTGATGACGGAGACTCAACTACTCCAGAGGCGTATTTGTAGGGGGGCAATAGGAGAATTTGTCCCTCCCCTTAAGACGATTTTTATTTTTTATTATTTTGTTTAATATGAGGATTTTGCTTTGTTATTATCTTTACGAGTATATTAAGTTGCCCTAGAATCGTTGTAGATCGAAATAAATTATGATTGAGTATTAAGAATAAGACTAAGCATTTGCTTTTTATCTCTGAGCCTAAAGTTCAGTAATCATTTATACTAATTATAATGAAATTAACGACGCTCTTAGTGGTTGTCAAATTTGGTCACGTTCTACTTATTTCAACAAATATTATTAGAAGTTCACAAAATTTTTTTAAATAATTGTTTAGTGCCTTGCAGGCTGACAATAAAATGAACGAATATAATATAAGTCATAATCAAAAAATTATGACTCAGGGTGACTTATTTTCTGATATGATCTTTGATTGAGTGGTAGAATTGAATGGATAGTACTTACTACTTGGGACGAATCGTATGTTGGCGAGAGTATTTCGTAATGTTGTAGTCGGCTTTGTCCGCGTAGAGCAGCATTAGTTTCTCGTCACATAATATGATGGTATCTACTAAAATACAAATCGGAAATAAAAAGTTAATACAAATTAAATGTTTAACAAAACTGATAGAAATGTCCCAACGAAAAATAACGGTTAGGTGATAAAAATCTCTTATGTTCAGGATATCTACGGGAACAATATGCTTCTACTTGGGGTATTCTGATACGTTCATAAAATTAAATTCATAATAAAACAGATCAAAATGAATTTAAGGAAAAATCGAATCAATAATTGGCAACAGATCAAAATGTGCCAGGTGAATAAATAAATAAATAAATAGCTTTTATAATCAATGCTGCAACGGAAGTACGGAATTTAGCTGATGTGAAGCAGTGGAGGCGCCGACTCACTAAATCTGTATTATAATTAATAAGTATTAAAATATTGTTATGTGCAGTTAAGTATTTAAAATTAATGAAATAGTGTGAAATGTATGTAAAATACACAGAATTATAGACATTACACTTGTAATAATATTGATTACCTATACTTTGATTGGTAATTGTTGTAGTGTATACACATTTTAAAATATTATAACTGTTATTATAGTTATTAGCTTACCACTAAATAATTTAAATCAACAAAATATATTGTATTAATTTGTATATTTATTATTTATAAATTCTTATTAAATCATCCAATTTAATTTTTAGACTATCGTAATAAGTAAGTACAATTTATTAGGAAATCAAAATCATTTTTATACTTTTTGTAAACAAAATTTTTAGTATTTAATTAAAATAATTTGTTAATTAATGTTCATTATTTATTTATTTGTTCATAAAAGTCTAAAAGTCTGAAAGTAACTCAACAAAGAAAACGTACGCATAATATATTAATATCTGTATAATGCGAAACAAAATTACAAAACGAACAAAAAAAAGAAATTTAAATATAGTTTTTCAATAATACAATACGACTATTATATTGAAAGGGTTCTTTTAAAATCAGTTATTTTCAATGTACTGGAAGTTATAGGTAGTCAAAGATCATTAAAATGTTAGATTTTTTAAAAATTTGTCTTAAAAAAATGTATAGTGAAATACAAATGAATAATTATAAACTCATTTAAAACATTTGCTTTAAAAAGAAAATACTCACATAAACATTTGGTGAAAAATTCAAGTAAGTATCTATATGTTTATTGACTTATTACAACAAAATAAGAAAAATCAATTTTGTTAAAAATTGGATTTTTACTTATTTATATAAATTTTAATATTATTGCTAATTTTACATAAGTATAACATATTATTATATGGACCTTAACATTTTTTATACGTAGTCACATATAGGATAGGTATACATATAGATATAGTAGATTAACATTTTGAAAGTAACGGTTTAAAAATAAATAATCTTTGATAAACAAGAATAAGTGTTTTTAAATTGTAGTTTAATTCAAATTTACATAGTTATACATGGGTGGCTAATGATTGATATTGCTATGTACTGACATCTCGCCATATATACATATACTTGAGATAGGCATAGGAACGCCATATACGGATTGTCGAAAAATGCTTATATTAGAATACCTGATGTTATTAACCTCGGGGAAGGCTAGGCCAACAATAAAATAGTTAATAGTAGTATCTACTGAGAATTGAATAAGAGAAATTGGGTTGCGGAATACATACGAATAGAATAGGCTAAAATGCTAAATCATAATCGATAATAGAAACGCTCGCACAAGACTACGACAAATAATCAATAGTAGATATTGACAGTTTAAAATACAATACTGTAATAGCTAAGTTATTAAAATGTTGTAACAGTAGAAATTACGCTATTTTAAGTCGATAACAACGACACGAGATATTGCAATTCGACCATAAGAGAGTGGGACGATAGCACTTCCCCGACCTGAACGGACACAAGCTATAGTAAACGGAGTCAACATTATTTTATCAATAAGAGAGGAGTAGTGGAGATCAGGCCTATAAAATAGAGACACTGTCACCCGATATTCAGACGTGATTTGTCAGAGTGAGTACAAGCACCTTCACGCTAGCAGACTCTCTGCAATTATTCATTTACACGAAAAATATTCAAACCGTTTTTACGTTCACAATAAAATTCATGTTAATAAATATCAAAGTGACTTGAATTATGACACCTTATCGTCCATCACCCTTGTACATTCAGCATCTGTACGCGGGATCACTACAATATTGAATTTCTATAATTTCAATTATTGCAAAAATATATGGAACAAATAAAATCTTGTTTTTCATGATTGTTTTTTAGATTTCTTTTATAAATCCCATTTTTAATGTTAATATTATGACTAATTTTATATTTCCTAAAACGTCAAAATATAATTTTACGAGTCTACGAGTATGTAATGAAATATACTTATTATGTAAAGGGAAGTTAGTTAAAATTAAAAATTTTTTTTTTAATTTGCGAAAGTTACGTGTATTAATAGTAATAATGTAAATTTTGCGGCAAGGAAGGGAAGAGAGCAATTTAAAATCGCAGGCAAGTGCTGCATTTCTCCGCCGACTAAAATCCATTACCGTACTAGCACACGTCATAAGTACATATTATGTTTTGTCACGCTGCTGCCTCTTATCGATATCACCGTGAATATGATTATTATTACTATTTACCATCAAAAACTTGAGGTATGGATCTGTAATATCCTAATTGATGATATCTATACAAGATTCTTAAGAAAACCTAGTGTATTTTCACTTGTTGGCCTTATGATTATTTCAGCAACCTGTAAAAATTAAAACTTTGTCATAAAAACTATATTTACTAAGTACAAACAGTTATATAATTAAAGAAAACAGAACAACTTAGTGTACAACAAATGTTAGTGCCATGCAATAATTATATAACAATAAATTATTAGTGGTGTACACCCGATGTTGATATTTACAACCTTATAAAAGTACAATGAAATAATATTTCTGGTACCTTCATTAGTTTATTGTTTAGAATTGGGAATAAAAAGTATAGTGTTATTAAATTTGTACTTTTCAACTTACGTTAACACGTTGCGGCGCACTCAAAGCGTACATAATAGCTTCAGCAATGTCAATAGATTTCAACAAATTCACTCCTTCCAATTTGCTGAACTCTACAGTCATTTCAGTTTCCACTCCACCCGGACTGATGCTCTGAAATTAAAAGGAGGTATTTTTAACAAAAAACATGTTGACCGAAATAAAAATAAGTGAACGGTTGTAATTTTAGGTATTCAACGGATCGATGAAAGAATTGATTTTGATAGTGAATGATTGGATTTGTTTTATGTGTGTCTGTCATCACTCATTACATTTTGGGGCAGTAAAAGAGCTTCCATTTTCTGCTTCAGTATCTTTTCTGGTAGGAAAGTGAATCTACTTAGTACATAGGGCCATAAGGGGTGCAAGAAAAATTCTCACCATTTTTCAAAAGCGTAGTGAAAAAAAGAAAAAAAGCAGGAATTTTTAATCAAAAACAGTTTCGGACAAGTCAATTTTTCTATAATATATAATATATAATATTATACATCTATACACTGTGCAGTCTTTATAAACCAAAAAACAAATAAATTACCGTGACTCTGATGGGTAACTCTTTCATGCCCATCAATTCTCTTAAATTGTCTGTGATTGAAGTAATACTTTGTTTGGTAGCGGCATAAACTGAAATATCCTTCATATATGGAAATTGGTAATGACCTACAACACTTTAATAAAATTCAATTATTTACTATTTCAAAGTGTAGGTATAAATTACAATTTATACCATGATCTGAATAAATAAATATTTATTAAAAAACATCTCATTGTAATAAAAATACATCTTTCTTTAAATAAATTATTTATTAATACAATTATTAAATTATATTATTACTAGATTATCAATCATACGAATTTATTACATTTACATTTTTACCTGTTAATATTTATTATATGGCCCTCATTGATTTTTAATTCTTCCATGATTTTTATGGCCTCTCTAGTACAGACGCTAAGACCTATGACATTTGTGTCGAACATATGTTTCCAATCATTTGTATTTCCTAGAAGTGTACAAGTTAGAAAAAATATTTTGATGACATGAGGCTATGACATCGATTAGTGATTACACTTATCTAATACTTTTCATCATTGTATTTAAATCAGGGACGAAAACCCAAAAAAATTTGGCGGTTTCGGTTTTGGTTTTTAAAACCGGTTTTTTATACTTAAGGTTTTGCTCCCCGGTTTTAATAACCAAAATAAAAGTCATAGGTTTTGGAGTTGGTTTTTAAACCCGGCTTTCTATATTGCTATGGATTTGGTCTTTGGTTAACCGCTCATATACAGGTTTAAAAAAAATTTAGTATTTTTAATACAACGCCTTTTCATTTGGGTTCATACTTGACTACGACTATACACGACCTTTTTTCCTAAATAAAAAGAATTTAAAATATCAAAAATAAAAAACTTATTTATGTAGGTAATAGGTTAGTAAAAATGATCACCTGATTATTTAACTTAATATTTGATATTCATCTTTGTAACAAACTTGTACTGAAAAACCGACTATTTATAAACTTGAACTGTGTTGAAGATAAACTATATTGGGAGGAGGGGGTGGGCGTGAAGAGGAAAACAATATATTAATCTTTAATTATTATAACTGATCAATATACATTAATATTTAAAATAACGTACAACGGATTATTATAAACGTAAAATATATATACAATATAATAAAGTATATAAAAAAGTTTTAAAAAACACTTTAGTCAAAGTTGGCTAAACAGAAACAATTGTCAAGTTGGAGATATGTCATAGACGAAAAAGATATTTCCACTGAAGAACATAAAGTATACTGAATGAAAAAATATATTTTTAATTGATTGATAATAAACGTTCAATGAATAATAAACTGAAAAATACCTGAAAACCCTTGATCAATCCACTCTTTTTTTTTATTTATTCTAATTCAATAACACTCAAAAAAAAGCTCAAAATGTTATTATTCAGTATTAATAATTATTTAGGTATATATTTTAGTATTTTTATAGTTTTTTACTCACAGGTTTCGGGTAGGTATTAGGTAAGTAAGTACAACAAAAAGAATTAGAATAGTAAATATTAAAGTTGAATAAACAATTTCGAAGTATAGTACATATCGTTTTTGATGTAAATATTTTGAAAATGTTATTTCATATTATTTATCATAATATGTAATACAAACAATGTTACTCAAACGTTGGAATTATCTAACTACTATAAATTAATAAATTCAATTTACCTAATAAGTCACTTTGCTTCCAAACACCTGCATTATTAACTAGAACATCAACCGCTTTCAACGTTGTCTTTACCCAATTAAAAGCTTCTAAAATGTTTTCTTCTGAACACAAATCAACTTTGAAGTAATAAAATGTACCCGGTTTTCCTTTTAAATTCTCTTGTAATTCCTAAAAAAATATGTTGGATTAGAAAAACATTCTAGTAATATTAGGTGTGAGTAGAATTTGTTATTGTTAAAGTTCACAAGGGAAATATTTTATTTACATTCAATAATAAGTCACTGCTTACGAAATATTAATAACAAAATAAACATTTTATAAATTTATATTTTTATTAAACATTCTATTGTCTTATAACTCATATTTATCAAAAATTAAATCACATTATTTATGAATAATTATTACAATATTTTTCTACATAACATAACTTTCTGTTATTTGTATAATTACATTAACGACGTAGACTTCGTCACTGAGATCACTGAGATCTGTGGAACGAAGTGAATAGTTTTGTGGTATAAATAATAGTTTAAAATCAATATAAATAATTTGATTGTGTTATTAAGTAAAGAATTATATACGCAATGGCGAAAAATCTCAACATATCACTTTTTTGGAATTCAAATTAAAAAATTATTAGTAAAATTTGAACTTCTCTGTTAATGTCCCAATTTCGTCCACATCTGTTTAAAAAAATTGTCATTATTTATTTTTCACATATATTAACATATATTACATTTCCAAGCTTAAAATGCATAAAAATCTAAAAATGCATGCATTTAATTGCAAAATACTTTGTAAATTTTCTGATTTTGAATAATGTTGTCAACACTCTAACTTTAACTCTAATAAAAAAATAGTAGCCATAATCTATATGCTTACAATATTTTTAAATATCTATGAAAACAATTTCATTATGGATATCCGTGTATTGGACTGTCAAGCTTTTTAAAGGGTTTGAAAGTTATTATTCCTATAAAATCCATAAAAATATTTTGAAAATTTGAAATTGGGTTTATGAAAACAAAACAATAGTGAGGAAATAAAATATTTTTAATATTTTGTATGAATCGTAATTTTACGTATATTGTGAATAAACAATGTTATCGAAATCTTAATCACACATAAGAGATAAATATGGTTTTACGTTAGCTTATTTTTAATTTATATTAAAAAAACTTCTGAGGAATCTTTTACTATTTTTCAATTGTTAGTAATGAAGTACAAATGTTAAAAGTATGAACATTTTTAAAATGTATTTAGTATGCCATGTGGGTATAGAAAATGCTCATATGAATAAATGGTGGTATAAGATCTATTTTGATACAATATGAAACACGTAAGACCCATTTTATAGATCAATATGAAGCCATGAACCTTTTAGGGATACAAATATTTTGTTGAATATATTACACATATTTTCTTCAAACCCTAATATTTCATTTTAATTTACAACTACAACGACACAACGTACCTGTAGTTTATGTTCTCTTCTCGCAAAACCAACAACAATCATACCCTTTTCAACCAGTTGTCGGCAAGTCTCCTCTCCGATCCCAGAAGAGGCGCCTGTTACCACAGCAACTTTTCCTTTCCACTTTTCCATTTTCGTTTTAAAATTTGTTTTTAATTATAAAAAACTACACGATTAGTGCTTAAAGGCGTCCAAACATCAACTGAAACACTATCCTGAACAGCCGACTTTATAAATGTATTTCGTAAGTAGTTTAGTCGAAAATGATTGAAGTGAATACAAGTACCTATCTAACCTACCAGTTAATTGCATTCAAAATTTTCACATATTATGTACGCAAAAGACAACCAATTCGAGAATCCACTTGAATATTATTGTGTGTAACGTTGAAGGTCACGTGGTGTAAGATATTTATAATTAAACCTAGCGAATGGTAAACATTCTGAACAATATATGAAGGTTTACTTTGTTCATAGTGTTATAGTTACATAGTATTTGGTATAGGTATATCTATTAACGTTCATGACGAATATTTAAAAAACCACTCATGACTGGAGTGATATTTCTGATGATGACAAAATAACGATTAAATAATAATGTGGGGTACCTGTAGTGTATTGTGTGTACCACTGTCTGCAAAATAATATTGTTACTTATATTAACACTAAGAATAGAAACCAAACAGTGTGTCAGTAATAAAGAAAATTATTGAACATTATAACTTGTTGTTGTTGCTCGAAATTTTATCATTGATTAATTTCGTTTGTACTTTATGCCCAAATATGAGCATGTTTTTTAGTGAGCGTCCGTCTGGGAATTTTAATGACTTCCTGTTCTTTTCACGATTATACGATGATGTATTCGTTTAGAAATGTCGATTACTTAATAATATTTAAAATAGTATATTTAATTACGTTTATTTTTATACACCAAAATATGTCTTCACCTAACATATTATTCATCCCATACATTTATTAGAGTATAAATTATGAATTATAAATTATAAAGTATATTATTTATATATTACACTTCGATCAACAAGCACCGGATATAAGGGAATTATTATTTTTAGCTTGATACTACATTTGACTAAAATCTGTTGTAATGGAGTTCTTAATAAAAATATTTTTAAAATTGTAACGACATAATTAAAAAAGTTACAAAAAAATTGTAAAAAAACATTTAAGTTTAAATAACATGACATCCATTTTCCATTCCACTTTTCCATTTTAGTTTTTTATTTTTAAACAACTACATAATATATAATTTATATAGACACAATAAACAATGTCTATAAACAAAATTGAAGGTTGCATTGTTCGACATTCACACTGGATAGAGGAGGATGTATTTTTACATTTAAAATAACGTTATAATGGAGTCTTTTAGAGTAATATTTTTTTAACTAAATTTTTTTAGTTTTATCAAAATAACTCAAAAAATTTGAATTTGAATTATTCGTTATAAAAAAAAAGATGGTGATTTAGTTTATACGTAAGTAATAAACAATACTTGTGGTGCACCATGTACCTCAAGTTATCTATGGTGAAATGGGGTACTGAGATTCGAAGACCGTAATTATACATACAAAAGATTACAGATTTTATCTCGAGCACCAGAATACATAATTATACATATTCGGAGATGTCACAACGCACACACATCACATCACACGAAAACACAAATTTAATCTAGAAACCGTCAATGAACGCTACTATATGGGAAAAAAAAAATTAAAATCAAAAATTAATATTAATGTCAAAATTCAAATGGATGTTATACACTAAGACTGGGTTTGGAAAACATGTGGTCATGCAAAAAAGAAGACAACCAGCCAAAACAAATTCAAAGTCCTATGATAGAAAAAAAAAACTAGCTGAAAAAACTAAAAAAACTCAAAGTTTGATTTTCTATCAGCCCGTTTAATAGCAACAGCATTGATAAAATTAAGAAGAAGGGTAAGACTTCTCAGTGCTGCATAAAGAAGACAAATTAGAAGTGACAGTGGTAACTATAGCTGCCAATCACCACTCAGCGTGGAAGTAGCTTAAACATTCCCCAACCCCATCAAAGGTTGAATCGTTTAAATAAAATTAAATACTGTACCAATAATGTGACTCAACCAAACTTAGTTACAATTATAAAATTCAACAAATAATAATCAATACAAATTTAATTTAATTAAAGTAAACAAAATCAATCACTATTCCTCTACATATATGACATAAAAAATAATTGCATACATTCTTCCCATTTATTTCTTAAATAAATTAATGTTTAGTATTCGTCACCGAATATTTGTTATGAAATATTATTTTGTCCATAAGGTATATTGTACTTTAAACATCACTTTCATAAAAATATAAAATAAAAAATGTATCTATTATATTTTGTAGTTGCATAAATTAAAATATCCATTTTTTCTTAATTTTATGGTTCATTATATCTGGTCTGGTTTGATCAACTGTTTTTTTTCAGAGATCTACAAAAAATTTACTTCAACTTTGGGGATTGATTTCCATAAAAAAAGTATTTTTATGATTCAGTGCCTAAATATAGGCCCAGACTACTGAAATTCCGTATTAACTAATATTCGCTCAAATAATTACGGTTATTAAAACACAAAAATATTTGTTCACATTTTTCATTCCAATGTCTGAACACCCGAACACATCCGACATGCGAAACCCGAATAAATAATTTTAGAGCAAAGACCTGCTTATAAATGCATAATATAAATAATATAATGTATATTGTTACATTTTAAACCTAACGAAAACATATTCAAAAGAAATTGTTATTAATAACAATCAATTCAACCTAGTTTATCATTATTCCACGCACAAGAACGATTATACATCTGTTTTAAATGCCTGTTGCCTCTTCCACTTGTTTATTGCGACTGAGTAAACAATGTATTTACATTGCTCATTTAATGTTTGATAGAGAATATTTTTTGGTGAATTTCAAACATTGATATTGAAATATAAATAAGTATAATATTATGTTGTAAAATAATTGATAAATGGAATAAAATGGTTCTATGATCCATATACTTTTAGGTACACTGTTCAAATAATAAATGTCCCCTTCTTTAGTTTTTTTTTTAAATATGGACACTTAAGCATTTCATATTTTTGAGTTCTCTTATATATTTATCTGAAACAGGTTAATATTTTTAATTTTTTGTGAGTTTCATAAATCAAAATTGAATTTTGAACCAGTATACGGTATCAAGTTTTTAAAACACAGATATGACAAATGGATTAAAATTTGAAATAATATCTTCTTACATATGTACTCTTAAATGATAAAAGCCTCCTATAGAAATTAAACTCAGTCATTATAGAATATTACAATATGGATACTTCTTTTATGTATCTTTATGTATCGCACTATGATTTACAAAAAATAAAACCAAATATATCTTTAACTCAGAAAAAAAGTAACCATTCTCTTTTCATATATGTATATAGATATTTAGAGAGGATAATATTATATTAAACTTAAGAAACTACTACCTACTTTTTTTTCAACAAAGTGAGAAATAAATGTGATGAATTAATAAATAATTATTTTAGACTCCGAGCGGAGCGTTGAATGTATTGTCTTTACAATGATGTGTTATTTATTTTTTTTTTGTGTCTGTCATCACGATATCTTGCAGTAAAAGTGTTTCAATTTTCTTAAATAGCACCGTTTCTAGTAGGAAAGTGAATCTAGTTGGTGCATTCGGAAGGTAATATTCTTTTTTCCCTAATAGTTTTCAAAAGCTATGGGAAAAATAAACAAAAAATGAAGGAAAAACGGCAATTTTTACGCAAAGCCATATTTTGAAAAACGAATTGTGGTAGACACTTGAAATTTACACCAAATGTTTATTTCATCTATTCATATACTTGATACAATTTTCAAAATATTCTGACTCGTCTTAGGCTGTTGGCGGAAATTTCTATATACCTTTTTATCTCATTTTTCTTTCTTTAAATATCAATATCAGTATCAGTATTGGTGGGGTCAAAAAGCATAATAATTTAATGCAAGACTTTTGATAACTTGTTACAATAGCAGTTGAAAAATGGTAGAAATTCATAGGCACAATTTTTTTTTATAAGCATTTAAAGTTAAAATGTTGACGATATTTATCAAGTTGCAAATTGAAAATGATTTTGTAGGTAGTTAAATTGTGTAAAATGTTCAATTTTTATAGGTAAAGATTGAACATTTAAAACAAGGTTCAACTTAAGCAGTTTTTTCCATAACTGAAATAGGTTAATACATCTAAAAAATATATGAAACATATTTTTACAAACATTTTCAGTTCAAATATAGACAATATTGCATAAAAACATAAAGAATGATGGTTATCATTTTGTTGTAATTCGGTTCCAGAACTGCCCAATTTTACATAGGTGTATTTAATATTTTCCTGCAGCATCACTGATTATTTATGAATAAAGTTAATTAAACACCGGCTATCATATTCATAATAAGTAATAACAAAATAAAACATCCTAAACTGACATTTTGTCTCCACTCAGAATCGTTTTTCGTATACAATGCGTTGATAACATTGAATTCAAATTTAACACCATCCATTACAGCGACCTCTTAGACACCTAATGTACAGCAGAGCGACATCCACTTACCCGCTTTTTATAACATCAATCCTATTTGTAATGTGATGTGCAGTGTACACATTGAAATGTTCGATGAATTAATTTATTATACATATCTTTATTGGATACGTTGAAAGTAATAAACCTAATAACCCATCTAAAAGTTCTTGTCCTATCTAACTTTGTACATTTGTAAATTATCAAAAATTATTTAAGTAATTTTTTAAGAACGATTAAAGGAAAATTAATACAGGACATACATACATACAATATTATAGTCAAGGCTTTTGCAAGTTAATGGTTTTTTTTTTAACTTACTTAAGTTGAGTTAATGTGCACCAATAACAAAAAGTTCAAAGTTAATTTGGTTATAGATTAAAGTTAATACACATTTTTGTTTAACTTTTTATTAAGCCAAAAAAAAGTTAAATTTTTTTATACAACAATAGCGTACTTATTTTTTTGTCCAAACCCTAACTATAATGTTTGTATTTCATACAGTATTTTCACATA